TTTGAAAAGAATCTGGATAGTCATGTCATTGCACAAACTACCATTAAAATGTTAGGATTGGTTAAACAAAGGAAGACCTTAATGATTTGCATTTATTGCTAGAATGAAAAGACTGGGGGGAGGGGCAGTGCACGTATACACACACTCACACAACTACCAGTGGTTGACTCAACGTCTAATTATAGTTCACAGTTTTAAAATAAAGATTTCTGAAAGTCTTTGATCATAAAATCAAATGTTGTTGGTGATATTAATGAATTCATTCAGGGCAGTTTCAAATAATTAAAATATGCTGGATGTATTTTTGATACAAGTAGCCTGCCTAATAAGTTGGTCTGTGTACCCAAAGTTCAAAGCAGTATGGTTTCTGTGGCCTCATTATGCAACTCTCCTCAGATGAACCATTTGCACGTCGCATTTGCTCATCTGAATAAGACATGGAACATTTCTGCATTTAGGATAAGGACTTGCACAGTCTCTCCAAATGCTAAAAAAAAAAATCGATCTACCTACTGTTTGCATTGTTCTCTTAGGCTGCAGTTAGACAACTAGTTGGCATTTTGGTATGGGGCCGAAACCCCACTCTGTATTGCTTGGACTAAGAAGAGCAGTGTGGAAGTTGCTTGTGGCATCCTGCCCCAAGTCAAGGTTATGCACTAGGAGAGATGAAAAACTCCCAGCTCAGCCCAGGGGGGTGAGTTTTGATGGTGCTTTTCATATCTGCCTTCTAAACATAACAGTCAGCCGGGAGAACTGCACACCTCAAAGTGAAACTTCTGGTTACACACAGACAGCTAGCCAACTACTCTGGTGTTTTTTTCTTGAAACGCTGCTTCCAGATAGGGTTGCAAGGTCGCCACCAGCCACTGGGGGGATGGAGGGGTAGGGTTACCAGATCCAGTTTTGGAAGCTCCTAGAGATTTGGGGATGGAGTTTGGGAAGGACAGGGACCTCAGTGGGGTACAATGCCACAGAATTCAGTCTCCAAAGCATTAGGGTTGCCATTCCCCCGATGGGGCCAGGGGATTCCTCGATTTCAGAGCCCCCAATCCGCTATGGCCAGCGGGGAAGCCCCACCCCCGAGAAGCTCCCTCCCAGTGCTGCTGGTGCCGATGTGATGATGTCAGCCGGGAGTGATGTCCATAGAGTTTTGCGCAAAACCTAGAGTGCTCCCAACATCGAAAACACAATGACATCACTTCTGGGTGATGTCATCTCTGTGCACGCACCAGAAGAACTACAAGACGGATCGGACGTCCTCCCACCAGTAGCCAGCTAGGACCTGGCAACCCTATGGGGACTGATCTCTGTAGTCTGAAGATGAGCTGTAATTCCGGAGGATCCCCAGGTCCCACCTGGAGGCTGGCATCCCTACTTCCAGAGGGGGCAGGCTAGAGTTGCCAGTTCTGGATTGGGATACTACTGGAGATTTCGGGAGTGGAGCCTGGTGTTAGAGAATGAACTTGATATTTTGCTTGTGGACTATATTTATTGCTACACACAATGGACTGTGCACACACACACACACACACACACAGGCTCAGAGAACTGTATACTTTAAGTCACCTGTTGTGATGTAACACATAGAAGGTGCCTACACAAGCCTTACACGTGAATAAGGTTTCAGCTACACAGTTACCAGCCTGGTGAAGAAGCACACACCTCCATTATTGTGAGCAGTAAGAAACAACAGCTTGGAGAAGAGACAGCCCCCATTACAGGAATAGTTGTGGTCACGTACGACACATCACTGCTTTGTTCCTGCATTGGTATTTCCTGCCAAATGAACATTTGGTTTACAATAGAACGGCCAGCTTCATCAACACGACAATGGAGCATCCTGACGCCAAGGTTTTCACACCTGCCCAGATGCCCTTCTTTGAGTAAGGTATTAGATTTCAATATTGGCCACTCCTTATAGGTAACCTCCCACTACTATAGGCAACCAATAGGGTTGTTTTTGGGACAGACTAACAGGTAGGTGAGTTCACAGGTTGGAACAGTTACCTCCCACCTAATGGATCCCCTATAAAAGGAAAGGACCATTCACCTGGCCCTTCCTAGCTAGCAACCCCCG